AGAACTTCTGACTTGGGGGATTTTTTCTTTCCTTTCCTTTTCTCTCTCTCTCTTTTTTTTTTTTGTCTCTGAGAAAGTCATATCAACAATGGCTTTTAACATAATGGAGAAACACTGTCCCCTTTGTAAAGTTTTACAGCCTACTTTTCCACTCCACCACCCTCGGTAATTAGAAATAGTTTATTGCAGGTCTTTAGTTAAATGCATTACACTGTCAATTAAATATCAAAAATAATGTGGAGTAATTATTTTTCACAGCATTGAAAGCAATTAGCAATCTGGTGCTTTATAACATTTCAGGGATTCAAAATAGCACATTACATTGTACTAAGAAAAGTAACAGAATAAAGGTTGCACTAACAGATTGATGAGTTATTGCTCTAAATGACAAAATATTCAAATTAAATGAGTCTGAACAATGTAAATAGAGAAGGGATAAAAAATCTTTCATAAAAATGGGAAGTCTAAGATACTCAATGGGATGGGTGTTTTAATAAGACTAGCCATTTGATACGAGCGACTCACACAGAAGAGGTACAAAGAAATGTTGGGGGAGCTCGAAAACAATTGTTTGAATGAGCAACAAATTACTGTGTTAGCGCTTGTCTTTCAAACACGTGGCTTGAGATTTTACAGGAAAGTCTTATCTATTTAACACGGAATCTGCATAGCCAAATAATTTGCACTGCACAGAAAGCAAATATTTCCACATTGCCAGTACATACTATCTAGGTTACTCATCAGCTTTTAATTGCATTTCTTCAAGTGTGTTAAAAGTAAATGAAAATGAGTATCTTTACTCAAAGGCAAGGGGTGAATGAAACATCATGACCAAAACAGTTTAATCAAGTATAAACAAATGTTCTACTTTGAAATCATTTACCATGTCTTTTTTTTTCTAAATTTTAACTCTCTAATTAAATATCATTTTGGTACTTAGAATAAAATGTTGAATTCATGCATGAATAAAAAGCATAGTGATGTGGCCCACGAAATTCTGACATTATCTATAACCCTTCCAGGACATGTTTGTAAAGGCAGCCGACTCATTTCCCACTCAGCTCCTGAGATAAGACGATTCAGTGTCGTGTGCAGAGTGTTCTGACGGTGGCGGCGGCTCTGTCACACACTCAGTCAGCATCAACCCATAAACCTGCCCGAGCCCCGGTGACATTGCAGGCAGCAAAGCAGGTGCAGAGGAGAAAGGGAGGAGGGTCGCTCCCAGATTCGATTTGCGTCGGGTTCAGTGCAACAATCTCTCGTAGAGAACTTTGGAGTCTGAGAACCACTGGGACGGTTTTGATCTCTCATCTTTGCACCTGTCAACTTCCTTGCTCGCCTCCAAAGGGACTCCCTGCTTCTCCTGATCCCAGAGATTCTCCCTGATGACGGCTGATGCAAACCATCCTTCTGAACTATTTCACGGAACTGCTGTCATCAACTCATCATGACAAAAGCTACTATACTTTCGGCTGTAACTGCTAAAGTATGAGGACAAAATGTCAAATGTGCTCTAGATGTCTATTACAGGCATCAGTTACCATCTTAATTTTAGAACGAGCAGCTAGGGTAATTCAAAAAATCACCATCAACACTACACTGACTTGTGGGAAAACAGGAACCACACAAATCCAACAATGAACTGCAAAGTTTATCATTTAATTTGGACACACTCGTGGGAATATTTACAAAGAAAGTTAAACATAAAAATAAGAGTGAGAAATCTAACTACAATGGCTTTATTTTTTTATTATATTAACATAGAAAACCAGAGACTGTGAGAAGCTCTGTGACAGCTGAATTGCTACATCTGGACATCAAGTCACATGACAGCAGGGGATTAGTTTCAAGGGCTCACGCTGCACAACGTGCACCCGCACTCCGGGCGGCTTCCAGAACCAGGCATCACCTTGCTGAGAAGTCAACGTCCAAAAGCAGCAGCACGGTATGGGTGGAAATTGCAAGTGGAAAGAAGAGTCTGAGACTGAGAGAGAGAGAGAGAGAGAGAGAATGAAAGAGAGTGAGAGGGAACGAGAGAAAGCGAGAGAGAGAGCAGGAGAGAGGGAGTGAGAGAATAAGACAGAGAGAGAACGAGAGTGCAAGAGGGAGTGAGAGAGAGAGAGTGAGTGAGGGAGCAAGAGAGAGGGAGTGAGAGAGCGAGAGAGCGAGAGAGCAAGTGAGCGAGCGAGCATGCCACTGCCTGATCCTGTAAGTCCCTGTGGCAAAGGACCTGCTAAAACTGCCTGGTGACAATATCTTTTTCTTTTATCACAAAACACTCATATTTTGGATCACATCTCAAATCTTTAAATATTTTTTGCACCATCGATGCCAACATGGAGACTGTAGGAAGAGTGTAGATGTTTGAGAGAACTGCAGGACTGCTGGCTGGACAGGATGCAGAGGTGGTGCAGCGGGACCCACGTGGACGGCCCCAGTTTGTGTTCTAGGCCCTCCTGAGCAGGCCAGGTTGCGGCTGGCTGTCACCTGGGCTGGCTGCGGTGCATCATGGTGTGGAGACACTGTTGGGGTGTTTGCTCTCTCTCACTCAGAAGAAATAGATCAACTTTAGAAACTTATTTGTAAGAGGTTGATTGTGCAGCCTCTGCAAACCAACCCTCTCACACACAGGTCTGGGGCGCTCAGTACACTCTCAGGTCTAAGAGCTGCCTGCCAGTCAGAAGGGTAGGCAAATGATGAGCATTTAGAATTAACCCGACACACTTTAAACTGTGGGCCTCACCAGTGATATATCAGAATAGGAAAGTGCTCATTAAGCATTCGTGTTAATTGCTATCTAACCATTGAACCAAGCTAATATGAGATGCAGCAATGAGCATTGTCTATAATAATCACAGGAAATTGAGATTTAACTAAGCTTAATTTTTAATATGCTACTTCGAGCGGATATTTTAATTTAATAAATAGGAGCACAGTGCATTCTCTGTGAACAAAATTGACAACAAATTAAAACTAGGGGAAAAAAGCAAGGCAATTAGGTGTATCTTATGGAGACTAATTAACTTTTAATTCAAGAGACATTTACTGAACACTTCCTTGTACTGGACGCTGTGCTGGGAACCTGTGGCCCAGAGACGGCCGAGACCCAAGGAGGCCGGAGGGGAGGCAGACGAACAAGCCCTCACCACAAGGGCACCGGACGAGAACGAGGAAGGCTTGTACTGAGCACTGTGAGCATGCTCAGAAAACACGGGACTCAGCCTCAGGGACCGGGGAAGTTGATTTTTGGATGACTAAGAAGAACATAGAATGACAAGTGACTCACGTGGAAATGAACAATTGCTGCTATTCTGAAGGCTGCTGCTCTCTACGTTGCATCGACCCACTCAGGGCAGCTTCTCACTGCAGCCCATGCAAATCTGAGGCTCAGGGATGTGTTTCAGGTGGGATACTGCTTGCCAGGTGCACCTGGGGTCGAAACCTGGCGCCCTGCCTGGCCTGGCCGACTTCTCTGAGTGAAGCTTCTCGCACTCGCTTTGCCCTAAGTCTAAAGCGACTTCTTATCAAAGTGAGAACTTTGTTTCCCACAGAAGAATGCCTCTAGGTATTCACCTCCACCATTTCCTCTCTCAGACTTGCCTGTTCCGAACCACGGCCCAGGCAGGGCAGCCACAGCCCAACCAGACACGCTCGTCACTGTGCCCACTGAGAAAGTGCCCGTCCCCAAGGGGGATGTCCACACTGAAATCCCTTCTCCTCAGTCCTCCTTTCAGGGTTTCGGGACCACACGCACACGCACGCTGTGTTTCTCAG